CCATTTTCATCCTTCGTTTACCGTATCGTGTCTTTATTCTTTGTTAGTCGATGTCATTATATTAGGAATAATGATGAAACAAATCCTTTTCGTGAAATACTAGTATATGTAACAGGTATTACTATGGACTATTCATTTGGCCATGAAAGTGGGAGAGCTTCCTCCTCCCAAGCAACAAGACGCCGTGTTTGGAGTCCTGCTGAGGAGCAGGCCCTAATAGATATCTTAAAAGATATGGTTAATGAGGGGTGGAGGGCAGACAACGGTTTTAGGCAAGCTTACAATTTCGAGATTGAGAGAAGATTGAAGTTAAAGTATCCAAATTGTACCATTCGTGCGGACCCTCACATAAGCTCGAAGATTCACGTGTGGCGAAAAAATTATGTTAGTGTGGCACTCATAAAACGTACCTCAGGCTTCGGTTGGAATGAACTAACCAAAACATTTTCCTACGATGATTCTGTATGGATAGGCTGGTTAAAGGTAACATTCCAACCAAACATGTTGTCTCATAATACAGTTTTGTACAGGTAAAACCATTGCCATTCCATAAATATTCACTAATGTAGGTAGATCCTAATGCCAAATCTCTGAGGAACAAGTCCTTCCCATTCTTTGACGATTGGGCGGAGATATTTGGTAAGGACAGAGCAACAAGAGAAAATGCACAATCATTTGATGATGCAGCAAACGAAGTCCCAACTCAAGACATGCAGCAGGACACACCAGACTCCGAACATGAGGATGTTCCATTGGCTCCTAACCTCAGTGATGGAAGCCCGTGTGTTGGTGTGCATGTTGTTGGTCGATCGTTAGTCGGCCTCAGTTCGGATTGCAGGCTGCAACTCGCCTGGGTAACAACTCTGGTACCGCGTCTGAGTCCGTTACAAGGGCAGGGAAGAGAAAGACAAGTGGCAAACGAAAGGCACTCAACCAGTGGGAGGAAAGATTTATAGATGTCTTGGACTCATTCTCTCAGAACACAAAAGACAGCTTGAATGTGGTTGCATCTAGGCTTGGGTTCGAGCACGACGCTGAAAAGAAAAGGAATGCAATATTTGAATCATTATCTAATATGCATTTCCTGTCCACCGAGGCTAAAATGGTGGTCACAATGCGTTTGTGCAAGAACCCAGATGAGTTGTCTATGTTTTTCAGCCTCAGCCAGGATAATCAAGCTGTGATGGTGAAAATTATGCATGAAGGAAGATTGTAGGGTAGTTGTAATGTTAAGAATTTGTTGTGATGACTTATTTGGCTTGTTCAGAATTAAAGTTGGTGTGTTTGTATTTGTTGTGGTCAGAATGGTCGACGACTTTCTTATCTATGTGGATTTGTTCATTTGCGTTTTGAAGCTAGTAGGCTTATGTTTGATCTTTTGGACTGTAAAATGCTATTATTCTGTCTTCTGAAATTTGCCAGTTCTGTTTGTGTGAGTTTGTTGTTCTTGTTGCTCTTAATAATATTGTCTGTAACTTGATGTTTTGGATATAATTGCGAATTTTATTTTTCTTTCTCATGGAAAGGACAAGGATGGACTACATGGATATTGACGGAAATGGTCACAGTCCTTGCTTCTTCAAGGCGGTTATGGAGCGTACGCTCTATACTATGGTAAAGCTTGTATATTTATTTTTTGCCTTGTTATTTATTTTGGTCTACATATTACTGTACTATCACAAAAAAAGTGTAATCTATTTCTTGTAGGCCTTTCCCCCTTCTATGAATCAACATTACCGTGGTGTCGTCACACCACGTAACTGCACCATTGAGACAGTCGAGGGCCGCAAATATGAGACAACATTGACTAAGGTCAATGGTTGCCCAACATTAACGGACGGGTGGAGAGAGTTCATTATTACCGAAGACATAACCATAGCCAACATCTTGGTTTTCCGTCCCACAAAAAATTTCGACTTGGAAGTGTGGGTGATTGAGCGCAATCGGTGTGAGAGGTTACCACGTTATACGTTTACCCTGGAAATAAAGCCAACACATGTGGAGCGTGCACGTTTGGTACGTTGCTTATGCTTTCTAACATGGTATCATATATCATGTGTAAATTCATTCCATTGGCTCAATTCTTATGTTCGTCTAATCATATTGCAATGGCTCAAGTCGTGACACCTACATAATTCTTTTCGTACGTTATTTGAGGTCTATTTAAATTGCATATTTTATAAGATTGTCATTTAACATATTTATATATTATAGGCGATTCCTATGCAGTTTTGGAGGGATTACATTCAAGGACATTATACAAACTACAACCGTGCAATCGTGCAGTTTCGTGACAATTATTATGAGGTCGAAATCATTCATGGTCACGGTAAGAAGCTGATACAGAACGGTCGTGCACGACAGTTTATCAATGACAACAACATCGTTGTAGGCGATGTATGCACTTTCTTCCTCATCCCAAATGATGAAGGCATAAAATTCATAGTGAAGATGTCGTGAACTTGTGTGTATTAGCTTGCGAACTTATGTGGATGATGTTATGAACTTGTGGGGGGTGATGTTTTGAACTTGTGTGGATGATGTTTTGAACTTGTGTGGATTAGCTTGCGAAATTTGGGGGATGATGTTTTAAACTTCAAACGACTTTGGTTGGTTATATAGCTGTACTCTGTAGAATAACTATAGGACAACATCAACATTGAAGA